CCTGAGATGGCAAAGCTCATGTAGAATACCGATAAAGAAGACGCCAATGAACATGTTTCACGAGATAAGTGCTGACAGGTGTGTATATCAAGGTGAACTCGATAGATGGCGCAGGGACCATAGACGTACGCCAAAAAGTCGTCAGAAATCAACCTACTGATCGGGTCACCAAAAATCAATCATGAAGCCACAAGAAACTCAACCATATACGGACCCGTTCGAACTCTCAAAAGAAAGAACTCCTTGCCCGCTGCATGCAGGATTCATTTTCGTCGGGAGAGGAGTGTTGTGAGATACTACTCACTTGTGAGTAGTAGGTGATTACTTTCAACGACCGAAAATCAACTAGATCACTGAGGGTAATTTACTGGGTCTCAAAGAAGAACTATCGATTTCTACATTGGTTACCCGTCGCGTGGCCTGGAACTGCGATGGTATGTTTCTGATAAGATTTTTGGTGTTATGTATGCCAAATTACTGATGTCTCTCAATGAACAACTATCCTCGACCAGCACCGCCCTCTGGAATTATAACACCAGTAGAAATGCACTTCTTCTAAAAGCTAACCTCCAGTCTAGGGCGGTGGTGGCCAAGTGGTTAGGTCACCAACTTGTGTCCCGGGTTCGATCCGCTCCACCGCCGCCCGTCTTCTCTATTTGTGTATTTTCCCCAATTAGCCTTTGTATGGCCGCAACTCTGTTCCTGAAAGTCGACTGTACATTTGTATATTCAATAAATAAAAAATGAAGTAAAACGACATTTACATTTTTTAAAATTTTCTCAAGCATGTACGTTTGATGGGGTAGTTTGAGAATTGTGCATGAAAATGAAGTCTGCCGCGATGGTCAGTCTAAATCAACAAAGATCAGCACACTAGGTCATTCTGCTTTCTTAAACCTCATTGTAAACTAGTCACCTTGGCATGGTTGCTCACGAAACTCTTGCCGGATATGCCTACAGCTCTCGTAGGCACTAAAACATCCAGTTCTGTTGGCGATTTTTCTCGCTTCACATGTCGTTGTAGATTCCGACTGAAATGTACAACTCGTTGGGTCGTCGTCCCGCCTGGCGTTTAGGTCACGCGAAGTGTATTCTCCATGATTTGTTCTCAGCGCAAATCTAACTTCCTACTTGTAATCAATTTTGTTGTCTGTTGGTTTTTCACTGGTTTCTCATTTCTTCAGCTGCACCCCAGAGTGACTTGACTTGATTTGTAAAGCTCATTTTTACCTACAAAGCTCGTCCTTTCTTTTCCCGAACATTTTATTTTAAAGTAGATACTATATGTACAGGATTTCGACGTAAACTAGCAAGTTCTTTCCTCCTTTTTCCACCTATTTACTGCCTTTGATACATGAGAGTAGTAGTTGGAGCGGGTGGGGGCGAGTTCGAATCGATTATTTAGTGAATTTAGCCATTCGCAGAACAAACGAAACGTGAATCACTGTGAATCTGTTTCGACCTGACCGTTTCCCAACAGCAGTGCGAATCCATTGACCCTGTTAAGATTCAAACTGCATTTCACAGGTAGACCGCAAGCATATTGCCCACTTGCTAATCAAGCAGTTGATCATGCTGTTTTTCATTTTGTCTACAGACGATATAGCACAATCCGTCTTTGCGGGTTTGTTGTGCGGGCATCCTACCTCGTTCATCTCAGTATGACTCGGTTGGGAATATTTCGAACCAGTTTACTTCTTTTGCAGTGAATGTGCAACTGTGCATTTTTTCTAGGATAAGAGAAGTGGAAATTTGAAGTCTGCCATATCTGTAGAGATTGATGATTGGTCTGACATGATGACGAGAATTTGGCAGTAGTGTTGGCGCTGGAACACGCAACCTTTGGGGCAATAGTTGGTGGTCGCCGTTTTCCACCCTTCTTTGTTGAACCCATGAAAATTCACAGATCGGATCGATGTTATTGGGGGATGGGGTGGGAGTGTCTCACACTTGAGAAATTCGGTAATTCTCCACTCGATTCATACATAAGACCAATTCATGGGCTCTGGTGTGTGTGCAGGTGGTTTTCAAATCGCTTACCTCATCCCTTTTGCATCGGTTATGTAATGCTGATCAGGTATTCATACACTTGAAGGAATACTCTACGAATTGGTTCATTTTCAGAACAATTCATGATTGTCACGAATGATTGCATGTTAGTGGACTGAAACAGACCAATGGCTAGTTACGTCTCCTTCCTTTAGGCGTTTGGTTGACGGGATCTAGTCAAACTTAGCTTTTGTAAACAGTGGTGGTTTGGGGGCGGGATACTCCAGTGATATCCGGCATCTCGTTCACACGGTACTTAGGACACGTGGGGCAAATAGCATTACCTTTTCACCCTTTCGTTCACGCACGTGTTGTGTGGATTGCTGATCGATAGCCCTGATGATGATGATGATGATCCGCAGATTAGATGAGGTGCGTGTGTGATTCAATTCGAGCTTCCGTCTGTTCACAGCCCGTTACGATCGGTATGTGCGCGCATCCGCATCAGGGTGATAGACAGACAGTTCAGTAGTGCAACAGCAAGCGTTATGTGACGAAATGTCCTGTGATGAGGGGGGAGGGCAGAGAAAAGAAAAGTGAATCTTTGCATTCAGTACACAGATCACACGGCCTAGCCGTACATAAACTTCTGTTAGTGCATTCTGTCCTGCTAAAATTGACGATACCGCCGCTGATTTCGGTGCCTCCAACCAATCAGTTGCAGAGTTTTTTGAAACTCAGTTTAAAGGACCGGAGACATTTACTCTACTTAAGCTCTTTGCAATTCTTCATACCTAGTGACCAATTCATCTGTTAACCTCCCATCTGGAAGCCGCAACTGCAAATCCAGTTCACTGAGATAGACGATTGTTAGGCTTGCGCATTATTTGTCTTAACCAGATTTGGGACAATGCCAATGCGGTTACTGATCCTTTCTCAGCTGAAACAGATAGATATCTCACTGTCATCTCATAAGCCTACGTAATTGGAACCCTCGGTACAATCATAGTTTTCAGACCGTAGATTCCGGTTGATTTTAAGGAAACCCCACTGGGACTAACACTTGAACCGCTAATTGGTAGAGCCCAAGTTCCTCAGTCGAATGTGTGAGTAAACATGGAAAGGTCAGAGCTGTCGATGTGGTCTCGTAACTCAGCTAGTCGAGCTTCCGCTCTACTGTAGCGTGGATGGTATGCATGCTCCAGTTCGAATCCCACTGAGGGCAGCGAACTTTTGCAACCCAAACTCAATTCAATGTTCTTCAATTATCGGCCATAACCAAATAACTGAATCAGCTTCAACTGTTTACACTCGAGCGACAAGTTGACTATACGCGACAAAAACACTTTCAGAAACAACTCACATCTCTCAAACAGCTGCATTCGTGGCGGTGTGCCTGTTAGATGTGGTGAAGTTCCAAGCGGTTTCAGTGCCAGCGCAGCTTTCTTGACTTGGAGGCCGTAAAAAGCAACAGATTGTGTTTTCCCTGTGGTAGTCATTGTGATTTTAATTTATCCTACAATTTGTTTGCCTAGAGCTTGATTCCTTTATGAATGAACATGTTGGTTAGTTATTCTATTATGTTAGTTTTTTTAACTGTATGTCGCAAATNGCAAATGAGAACGATGTTTTCTTCTCGGTATTTGTTCACGCATCCGAGTCTGCTCTACTCCCCTTCTATGTGATTGTTCAGCACACGTTTGTTTGAAGCCTGTCATATCTCAGTACCCCGAGATTTAATGTAGCGGCTCACACTCAGTAGGTACGTGCTTTTTGGGGGGTTGGGGGGGGGAGTTGCGTTTAATTGATTCTTTCTGACCTTACGTGACCTTCGAAATCTAATGCATATATTCGTGTCTACAGAATGCGATCGATCCTGTTCTATCGGTTAAGAAAAGTGAACTATGCAAAAAGAATGGTTCCATTCGTACTCTCACGCGTGTCCTTATCACTCCCTTTTCCTGCTCGTTCCTCTGTTTGGTGCTCAGTTATCTCCAACACGGTATCCCGTATGATTTTATACAAAATTGATCACTGTGTGAAAGTGTACTCCGGAACGTCGGGAATAGCAATGACAAAAAGCTCGGCTCCCTTGCAAAAATAGTTCCCGAAATGGTTATTACAAACCGGCTTACAATTAACGGTGGGGGTTGTGTGTGTTAACAAGAGGGCATGCAAGTTAATTTGCATTAATTTGTATTTTTTCAGTATCATTCCAGAGTATCGCATCTTCAGCTCGCTGCCCGTTCTCTGGTTATCTGTTCATCATCAGCATTGTTTTCAATCTGGCCCACAATCCAGAACATCCACCAATCAGCATATACACAAAGAATTCCTCTTAAGACAAATATATCTGGTGTTTTTACTCTCATTCTTTTTTTGGATTTTGGTTATTGTTTTTGTTGTTTTGATCATCGTGGAATTTTCTTCACGTACACTCTATCTACCTACATTCCTGTTCTTGATTATTGTTATTAAAATGGCCACAGCATACCCAAATTCGTTGATTTTCTCGTAACCTCTTCCGCAAGCTCTGGGATCAACTTGTTGGCAGGGAATGCTGAAAGCACACGAGGATAAGTTTTGAGTATGCGGTGGATCACACGGGCAACAAAGTGCATGCCACGCATGCCATACTAAGCTGAACACAGTCTGAGAAGACTTAAACGACTCTGATTAGAAATTTTTTTATTACACACCTGTGTGTGATGAACAGCAGCCGGGGCGGACCCCATAGTCATGAAGATCTGCTGTCCAGGAATGGTAACCGGTAATCTAAGCCCCGTGGGACTTGGAGTGGTTAACCACTTAAGGCCCCGATAGGCCAGGCGTGGTTTAGAACCGGGCGACAGCAAAGCTGCTTACCACCAAAGTTGGGTGGCGGTGGCGGGGCTCGAACCTCGAATCACAAGGTCTAAAGCACACCAATGACAGCGACTAAACCACTATGTCACCACCACCCAGGTAGATTGAACGATAGGAGATAGACAAGAACCGTCTAGAGGCGATTAGTTATTCACTTGCTCTGTTTCCGTTTTTCTCTCCGGTACATCCGGTTTTTGTTGATCAGCTTTTGCGCCCCCCCCCCCCCGCCTGGGAACATAACAAACCCATTTTTCCTCCTGTCATCAATCGTTCTGCTTCTTTCAGCGCATAACACTTGTGTGATTCGGTGTTGAGATACATATTTTCTCTCTCTCTCTCTCTCGCCGTTTGTTGTTACAATACAGCCGAAGGGCACACTCTGAACCCACAGGGTTACTTAGGCATCACTTTCCATAAGCCTAATGCGGTTCTACTCATTCCATCATGAGAAAGGCTCTTTGTCGTCACTGCCAAAACAAGTTTTACAGTGGTGCCCTATATCCTCGGGAGACCATCTATCATACAGAATAGGACACGCAATCGCATCTAAACAAGCATCAGCGATATTCATTTTTTTCGTAGCACGTACATTTGTGTGATGAATAGCAAACGGGGGTGAATCCCATTAGTTGCGAAGACTTACTATTCTGTGATGGAAACTGGCAACTTAAGCCCCGGGACTTAGAGTTGCGAACCACATAAGGCCCTCTGGGGTAAACTTAATATTGAACTGGAAGACAGCAAAGCCGCGGATCACAAAATTTGAATGGCGGTGGCAGAACTCCAACCTCGAACTATGGCATCTAAAGCACGCCAGTGATAGCGACTAAGCCGCTGCGCTACCACCACCCTCGGGACGTATGTGGATTTCTGAACATTAAATTGGATTTTAAAACCAGCGTATATAATTGACACTTGTGGCGTTCGCGGAGGTACAATTTCGTTTCTCTAACCCTTTTTGCATAGCGTTTTATCTTTCTCTCCAATATCTTATTACTGGTTTTTTTAATCTGTCCAACTAGCGAAAATCCAAACCCCCCGGCACCATCCGAACTGCATTGTCTCATTAACATTCTTCGACCTTTTTCAAGTGAATGCAGTTCAAGTAGTTGCTCGATGCGAGGATGAAAAGTTAAAAAGGAAATCTCATGTGAATTTATGTTTGATATTAGCCAAAAAAGTAGTCACTGCTTCTGCTTAGTATTTCCACCCTTGTGTCATACTTTGACATGATTGTTTTGCGGACGTAACGGATACCGCCATCGGATTGAAGCATTTCCAAATCCCCCCAGACTGGGTAACACTCTGCCTTCCTGTATCTTGTGAATCAGATAACGCCACACAGAGAGATAGACAGAGAGACAAAGTCAAAGTTTTACTATGGATTTACAAGCGGCTGCTTCTCTTGTCCCATAGGGTTTAGGATAAATGGATCGATTTACGGTTCATAGACAAATGAGAAATGTCACAAATTATCCTTGTTTCGTGCACTCCTACGAATGTCAAAATTTAAGTGTTGTCAATGTTTTATCTAGTTTCATCATCATCATCATCATTGTACAACGTAATGCAGTGAGGCGAACTTCACTGATCGCTGCCAAACTCATAATGCATACAAGATAAGTGAGAATGTGTAAGGAGGACAGGGATTGGGCCTACTTTTAGGGACGGGAAAGAAAGCGAACCTGTATAGTCAACACACAGAGTACACAGCCCAACTGTGCATACATACAATTTCAAGCATTCTGGTTTGATAATAGGTGACAGCATGGTCGCCATTGCTAACGGTTTACAGCCATGACCTTCAGTGTCTCCAAACATGCGGTTTCGGAGTCTTTTGGACCCCGACCCGGAAGACGAGAGACACCTGCTCTACCTAATCGCTCTATGCATTTCTTCATGCCTCGTCTCCACATCATCTTCTGGCCTCCACGTGGCTTTTTCCAGCCTGCAACAGTCACTGCGAGTAAGGCGCGCTGCGGTAGACGACCATCGGACATACGCAAAACGTGTCCTAATCAACGGAGCCTACTCAGCTAGATTCGATGAAATAGCAAGTTCTTGTTTGATGTATTCCCAAACACCGGACGACTTATTTCTAAGTTACCAACCCGCTCACTCCATCCCACTTGGGCCAGAATACGCAAGCATTGATTGTCGAACACTGCTAAACGACGGGTGTCCTCTAACCGCAAATTCAAGGTCTCACAAATGTAAAGCAGAACTGATCGTACAGTGGTGCCGTAAACGTGACTTTCCACCTTCAGTGAAACGTCATGTCTACGCCACAGGTATTTTAGTCCTGCGTACGCTGCTCGAGCCTGGGAAATGCGGGCGGTTATCTCCTTCGATGCGCTACCGTCGTTGGTCACACAGCTACCTAAGTACGAGACGCATTCAAATTCAGCTAATTTCTGACCGTCTAGTTTCAGAACAGAACTCGGTGACACCCAGTCTTGTAGCATAACTTTGCACCTTGAAGGTGCAAGGCACATTCTGAACGGAGCGACAGAACTTGCTAATCTGTCAAGTGCTCTTTGTGCATCCTCCATACATTCGAAAAAGCAAGCGATGTCGTCGGCGTGCTCCAAATCGCACAGCTTTTCTCCAGCTGCCCATTCAATACCTACATTTTGGAGACCACTAAGTGTGTTCTCCAATATTTTGTCATAGACGAAATTGAATGGTGAAAGGAGTGGTGAAAGAGGGCAGCCTTGACGAACACCGCTGCTAGTTACGAACGATCTACTCAGGTCGCCGTAGACCCTTACACTACCAGAAGTATGTGAGTAGAGTGAGTTCATTATATTCACATACTTTTGCGGCATTCCTTTGTGAAGGAGTGAACCAATAAGAAATTCACGATCAACTGAATCGAAGGCTCCTTTTAGGTCAAGGAACATGACAACCGTTGGCCAACGGTGCATATGGCGTAGCTCAAGGACTTGATGCAGAGTGAAGATTTGGTCGATGCAACCGCGACCTGGTCGAAACCCTGCTTGTTGTTTGCAGATGTTTGTCTCCCTAAGCAGCGTCAGACGTCGAAGTATAATGGAGGCTAGTAACTTGATGACGATTAGGATCAAACTTATTCCACGGTGATTTATGCAGTCATTGCGAGATCCCCTCTTAAAAATTGGAACTAACAGTGATTCGCTCCAGGATGAGGGAATGAGCTGGTGTAACCAGATGTTACGCATTATATCAGTAATGGAGTCTACAAGGTCATCGCTGTCCATCTTGAAAAGAATGGGAGGAAGCCCATCTGACCCTGCTACTTTTCCTTTCTTCAGGGCTTGGATGCAAGAACGAACTTCTCCTGCAGTAGGAGGTCCAGATGGCACTGTCCATGGAGTCTCAGCTACATCGGAGGCGATAGGCTGGTTAGCGTCTGGTCAGCTGAACATTTCTTTGAAGTACTCCGCCCACCCGTTAAGCCGTTGTTCCCTATTGTGAATAGCTCGCCCACTTTTGTCGCTGATTGTTTCACTAATTGTGGTTCGCCGACCTCCCGTATTGCGTATCAGTTGAAACAGTCTCTGACTATTCCCTGATGCAGCCGCTACTTCTGTTTCACTGGCTATCGTTGTCCACCAGTTCTCAAGGTCTTTCTTGAGGCTCCTCGTGAGATGACGTTGCAGACGCCTCCTAACCCTGTCTTGATCGCCGGCGGTGGAGATTTGGCGCTTCTTCTCCATCAGTGCTACTGACTCGTTAGATATTCAATGACTCCGGCGGACTACTGCTTCAGATCCACAAGCAACGTTCGATGCGAAGTGCGTTGCTCGGCTTATCTGATCCCATTGTTCATTTACACTACCACCCCGCAGTGCGTTTAGCTCAAGGCTTAGTTCTGATTCAAAACAGGCACGAACGGCTGGGTCAGATAAGCGATGATCTGCCAATCAAGTTTGGTGGAATTTTCTGCAACCAGTGAGTTGGAGAGTGAACTGCATCAAAACTAACGCA